AAAAAAAAAAACTCATAAAAAAAGCTTAAAATTTAACTTTTTTATTTCCCGCATATGCTTTTTTACCCCCCGTATATCGGACTCTAACTTCTCAGATTTTATAGTTACACAGAATCGCGCTTTAGATGAGCAACGACCCACGATTTTTCACAATAATAATTATATAACATAACATGTATTGTATTACTACATCTCATTTTTTGTTCACAACAATATTAAGAAAAGAAATTTAGATACCCAAGTATCTTATACTCTGATGTGACTTAAGAACTTGAACAGAAAAATTATTAAACAAAATATATCAAGGAAAATTGTTTTAATTAAAATATTATTCATTATTTTGATTTTGATTTCGTTGCATAATAGATTGTTAATTTTGAAAAATTGGTAGGCAGTCTCTAACAGATTTTTTTAGTTTAGTCTTAAAGTCTACAATCAGTACAAGATCATTTATATATACTAGAACATTAGAAACCATATACTTTTGTCTATCTAGTATACGTATATTTTTTATAATCACAAAATACCGTTTTATCCATAGCAATGAATGTTCTGATGTCTATAACTTATATTCTTTTTTAAAAAAAAACAATATGCTTTTCTTTTCTTGAATTCATATCAGTTTTTGAATTTACACGAGTTCTTAAATTCATATCAGTTCTTGAATCTGCACCAATTCTAAGTAGATAACATTATATACTTGAGAGTTTGCACATGAAAATTTTGATTGTCATTAGTATATATTAAAATTATTTTAGTCAATAAAAAAAAAGTGAATCAACTTTGAAAATAAGTTTTTACAAGTTTTATATACATTTTGATTACCACTTATTACAAGCAATACGGTAGTCTTCATAAAAAATTTTATTAATTTTATCATGAGTACAATAGTGCATTATGTATAGGAAAAAAATTCTCAGATAATACAATATAATAAAATGTAAAATTTATTAATTTATTTACTTACTACAAGCGATATGGGAAATTCCCAACAATAATATATTTTTGTTACATGGGGTTTTTTTTTTATCAAAAAATTGTATTCTAATAATAATGTATGAAGAATTTCCCCTACGCGAAATAAAAAAATATATAAATACATCTTCAATCTGGAGCGAAATAAAGTGTAGCGGCAGTGCATAGCAAAAGCGATTCAACTCAAAGAAATAGCATTGCACTTGCAAATGCAGAAAATAGCCTATATAACGCAACAATTTTGCTTTCCTTTTTTATGCGCTTTTTTGCTAAAAGTGGAAACTAACTTTATTTCTTCAAAATGTACGGATTGGTCAAAACTATTCATAAATATTGAAATCATTTTATTCTTGTGCTAATAAAGTATCAAATCATATTTTTAATTTTTATAATTAAATAAATTATTAAATTATAAATTTATTTTTTTTATGATTAAATAAATTGTTAAATTTGAAGCTAAACTTTATTATAGTTTAAAATTTATTAATAATTATTACAAATATTTATTCCCGATATTTCAAACGCAATAGCTTTTTCATATAATTTTGACTAATAACAAAGACCTAATGTCAATGTAATGAATGAACTTGTATGCTAGGCAAATAATAAGCTAGCAAGCTCTTACAAATCGGCGAGCGATCTCGTAAACTCATAAAAGAACTTGATATGTTTAATGGAATATTTGACATCATGCAAACTAGTACTGTAGTGGTTCTCTACTTGAATAAATTGTTGTGAGGCAATAATAATTTAAGAGAACTGGATCATCCAACTCGCTCAATTGTATTTTTGTCATTATTTAAATATACCTCTTTTCGTCCTCCTGTTTAAGCACACCATAAATTCAAACATAGTCAAGAATTTGATCAATAAGTGATCTTACTTCGTACACAAGATTACTTTGCTCTTCAAATTTTTTAGATTCTAGACTAGCCATACTAACACTTCTCATTCAAAAGCGGTAGGGATTGTATGCGGCAAATATTCTGATATTATAATGAATCGGTTTCTCATTATATATTCGATGAGCTATTAGATTTACAGTAATAGGAGATCAATGTGTTTATTTTATCAAAGAATATCCAAGCTTTTCCCTCCTAGCACTTTGTTTGACTTCAGTCATGAATTGCGAAATGTCATTCTCCTTGATACCCACATGAAGATCGTAATTGAGCATTGTAATATTTTCTTAAATAAACATAGTAATACATCATAATAATTACCTTTCCGCATCCGGCCTCTTCACAAATAACAACGGATATGTTCGCCTGCACTCAGCAAAATCAATATCATCTTCAATATTTTAGAAATCTTATGAGATCCATCCGACAGCTTGTACTTTTGCTAGACATCAAATTCCACATTGTGTAAAAATTAGTGATTCAAGATCAATTACAGCTTTAGGTATCGCCGTCATTAACGGAGGAAAAATAGCCTGACAGAAGCAGAAATTGAATAATGTACTGACACAAAGTTTATCATCTATTTTCATTATGTCCTCAATCACACTTTTCCGAGTGGTACCTTCACCACGATGAATTCTCTCTTCTCAAGTTCTTTAAAAATCCATTCTAATCCTTGCTCGCACAAATCTCGCGTTCAATACTTTGCTTAGCGTTGTCTGTTCCAACTTTGGCAAGTTCCGTACACCATAAAATTAATTCCCTATTTCTTATCAATATCTTGACCAGATCAAATTTGTCATAATAAAAAAGATTCATTAATTTATTCGAAATCACGAGTATTTGTGTAAGTATTCACCGTCTTTTCTTGTGCGGTGTGTGTATCCAGATAGTAATTTGATATTAGACGCTGAAACCGGAAGACATCAATATTATGCGGAGATATTTTTTGTGAAGCCTGTGTATCAGTGACCTTTGATTTGGCAGTATCCAGACCAATAACAGTTCGGAACACTTCGTTTTTCTTCATCTGAATGAAACTCTCCATCTTCTTCTTTCTCTTCATCAGATACTATGGCAACCTCAAGTTCATCAATCTCGCCTGAAAGTTCACTGTCATTCATAGCATCCCAGGATGATAATCTGTTATTTTTTCGTCCACGAATTCGTCAACCTCCTTATCTTCTGGTGATATGGGCGAAGAGTTGGCATTAATATACTGGCTTATAATGGAGCTAGGTATATCAACACTTGCGTCTTCCTTGGGAGAAATATCATTTTGTGCCTTCCTGAAATAATGTTCTAATTTCACAACACTAGCTCTAGTTCGACATTCTCAGCATTACTATCTCTCTGATTTTTCTCCAACTCCTCGATTCTGCTCTTAAGCTCAATATTCTCTTCTATAGGCCGCTTTAATTTCGTATTCTCAGCCTTGACATCGGAATTCTCCTTTCTAAATTCAGAAATCTCAGCCAAAAGCTTCGAATTTATTGATTCTTTCGATAAAGAGACAAAGTCTCGAGTTTTCAACTCATCGATTTTGGATTAAATATTCGACATTACTTTATATAGAAAGCACATTCATTCAAAATCTTTTTATTATACAGATATCCAAAGTTGTATTCACGTGATTAAAATTTGTGGGACCGGTCGGTCTCGGAAAAATACTAAGAAAAAAACAATTGACCGAACTCATAATTCAAAATAAATTATACTATCGGGGTCAGATCTTGATAAGATTGCATGAGAGGAATTATCGATCCCAAAGCATTTACTAAGCAAAGATAATAAACGTCAATTTTTCATTTTATAATTATTATAAAGAGCTGCATTTTGTAAAACGGATTAATTACCGTTGCTAAAATGCTGAGCATATCCTCTTTGAATATTAAAAAATTTATTAAAATATATGATCATATAAAATAAGCTTTTCCAACTTTTAAAAGATCAATCCGTAGAATCCAGCCTTTCCTTGCCACGAAAACATCAAAGGTTTTGATCAGAGTTTGACAAATCTTCTTGGAAGGTACCTTTTCAACCAATTCTTCGTTTCCGCTGATTTTAATCTGCATGCGTCAATAAAAATAAAAAGGTAAGATGACATTTTTTGCAGACTATTAATTAAGTGCTCTGACCTTTTGGGGTGAAGTTGATGGAAACTCTTCCTCATAATGTTGCTTTACAAATTCTCAAAATCGGAGGCTAATTCTTTGTGAATTTTCTTTTGCTTCCTCTCGATTTCAAGCTGATCAATAAAATCATCTAATTCTTTGACCCATGCGGTTTCAAGCACCATTATTGCATCTTATTCTGTGTTCTTTTTGAAACTAATCTAGAGAGATAACAAGTTAACACGGAATACAATTGAAAAGATGAAAGCATAGTTGAAACAATAAAACATACTCGATTGTATTTCACTTTTTTGTCAATATCAACACCATGCTTCCAGAATTCTTTTACCTCATGCATCTCGTCCTCACAAAAAAAATAAGTTATAAAAGGCAGCTAATATGGTTAAAACACGACAATTTCCGAGCAGGAAAAATCCATTGAAGATTTGCGATTACTATTACAAATGGCACTAGGAGCGACACCCATCACCCCAGGTAGGAACGACACCCCCCAGAGCTGTGCCATAGCAAGATATTGCACTGTAGGAACGACACCCCATGCCTCGGAGTAGGAACGACACCCCTCCAAGGTTGTGCAACTCCTGATTCAGAAAAGAAGACATGAAAGGTTATTTACCGTCTGTAACAATAAAGTCGCAACTCTCCACTTCTCATTTTCTTTTTTCTCAAAAAAGTTCTTTTAAGGATAGTACGATAGCACGGTATCGCTTTCGTATTGTTGAGTTGTCAGCGAATGTCATGTCGCGGACAATGAACATCCATATTAGCTTTAACGCTTCTAAAAAACCTAGGTATGACCAGTTTGATGGAGAAGTGACAGTGAAATACGAATTGGCAGCCTCGTCTGAAATTTATTCAGGAAATATAAGTACGGTTCCTTGACATTATAGATGGAACGCGTAAACAAACTGATCCGTTCCTTTTATCCTTTTAGTACCACTCTGCTACATGTTTTGATTGGCTATATGTTAATCATGCATATTTTGTGATTGGTTGCTAAAAGGTCTATTAATAATATTGGAAACAACCGATACCAAGGTTACTATCATATGAGCAGAGATTTTTTTCCAAAATACAGTAAAAGGTTCATCTTATATTTAAGTAACCTGATTTTATTTTCTGTATATACAGTATTTTATTCAATTTTTTTTATAGTAATTTTGAAAAATCCGTTCCACTAATAATTGCAATTACTGTATCGAGAATTGATCGGTTTAAACAAAACTGGGTCATTCCTATTTATTATTATTTTTTTTATACTTTGATCTTATTGAATTTGAATATATTGTTAATAAGATAAACCCTTTAAATAAACTATTGAAGTAGTCGTTATTTTAATTATATTAAGGAAATTATAAAAAGATATAGCATCGAACAATCGGATCAAAAAGCAATCATAGTTCAGAAAGATTTAGAGAAAGTATTTCAATCGTTTCTAGAGACTGCTGAAAGCGAGAATTTCGAAAGTCAATGTGTTCTCGGACATCGTTATTTTGAAGTACAGTATTAGGAACTATGAAAGATGAAAAGAAAGTATTTTATTTGTATCTGAAATCTGCTGAAGGCGGAGATCCGACGGGGCAATATAATATTGGAAATAGGTATAGGGAAGGAATTGGAACTACGAAAGACGAAGAGAAAGCATTTTATTGGTATCTGAAATCTGCTGAAGGTGGAAATCATCAAGGACAATGTAATCTTGGGTGGTGTTATGAGAATGGAATTGGAACTACGAAAGACGAAAAGAAAGCATTTTATTGGTATCTGAAATCTGCTGAAGGTGGAGATCCGATGGGGCAAAATAATCTTGGAAATTGCTATAGTAAAGGAATTGGAACTACGAAAGACGAAGAGAAAGCATCTTATTGGTATCTGAAATCTGCTGAAGGTGGAGATCCGACGGGGCAAAATAATCTTGGATGGTGTTATCAGAATGGAATTGGAACTACAAAAGATGAAGAGAAAGCATTTTATTGGTATCTGAAATCTGCTGAAGGTGGAGATCCAACAGGGCAAAATAACGTTGGATGTTGTTATGAGAATGAAACTGGGACAATAAAAGACGAAAAGAAAGCATTTCAATGGTACTTGAAATCTGTAGCGAGCGGAGGAAATTTTGGTTTATACAACCTTGGAAAATGTTATGAACACGGAATTGGAACATCAAAAAATGAAGAAAGTGCATTTCAATGTTATTTAAAATCTATTGAAAATGGAAATCAATGGATTCAATATTCGAAAATTCAAAATGTTAACTATCTTACTCGCGGAGGGTTTGGAGAAATATTTAAAGCTGATTTAATTCAAGATTCTGGAGTTAACATTAAAGTAGCACTTAAAAGCTTACGCAGTTCCGGAAATATTATTATAGACTTTCTAAAAGAAGTAAGTTTAATTGAAAGTTGATTGATGCTTGTTTATATTGCCAGTTTTTAATATAAATTGTTATTCTGCCTTTCCATGTATTATAGCTGTTAGCTAACAAAATAATTTTGGATGGAGGTCCGGGTAGATTTATTATTCGATGTCTAGGTATTACAAAAGACCCGGTTACAAATGTTCATGCAGAAGATGGAAGTATGCACCAATATTTGTTAAAGTGTTTTGAAAAAATTACATGGAGAGAAAAGGTTAAAAAGCTGAGTTATATTGCAGAAGGGTAGATATCTACGTGTAATACCTGTCGAACTAATTTTTGTTTATTGGATTAGAAATAATGTTTATCTATCATGTAGGTTTGAAGAAATTCATAACAGAGGATTAATTCATTGTGATATCATTCAGGAAACATTTTATTAGGAGTAGATGGTGTTTCTGGTTCTATTAGAATAGCTGATCTGGGTTCATGCAAAACTAGGTCAACTTCTGATTATGATAAAGCATGTGGAGTGATACCTTATTTAGCACCTGAGGTTCTTATAAAATATCAGTTTACTCAAGCATCTGATGTGTATAGCTTTGGAATGCTTATGTGGGAATTTACATCGGGTTGTCGACCATTTAAGGATAGAGATCATGATTGTATTCTTATGCTAGATATTATTAATGGATTACGACCTGAAATTACAAAAGATACGCCATTGGTTTTTGAAAATTTGATAAAAAAATGTTGGATTAATGATCCAGATAAACGACCGAGTATGAAGAAAATTAAACAGCAGCTTAATAAATGGCTTCAAAATATAGAGGAAGAAGAGAACTTTGTTTCTGCCGAAAAACGTCGAAAGGATTTGATAGAAGAGAGAAAAACAAAAGAATGTATTGACGTTGTTAACTCCGGAGCGTATTATACAAGTAGATTTTTACATTCCATAATTCAACAATACATCCTACAACGTAAGTATTTATGTCCTTTTAATTTATGAAAATGTGTTAACAAATTGACGTGGATATCTTTATTTGTTAAAAGAAAATGAAAAGTCATCAGAAGGTATGTAAATCGATAATATATAAGCGATGTTATACGGAGTTCATTTGATAACTAAATTTTATCATATGCAGACATTAAATACAAATCAGCACAAGAAAACTTGAAAATTGATGATTATTTTAAATAGCTATAAGTAATACTTATAACTGAGACTTCTTAAATGCTTTATGTGCTTGTGCAATTATCTTGATTTATTGGATATGTGTAATATGTGCATCAGATTTTTTGTGTAAGTTATTTAATCATTAATTATATAATATATAAATTTATATTTAAACATGTAAATTTTTATTTACTATGTTAAAATACACAAGTTTTTATTTACATTATAGTAAAGAAATTATTTAAATCAACTATTGCTATAGAGGATAAGTTTTAAATTGATGTTCAAGCTATAATTTTATGAAATAGTATTAGAAGAAAGTTTAATATTAATAATAATATTATTATTAGACAATGTTTTTTGATATTTATCATAAGAAATAAACATTGGAGAATTAGAATCAAAAGGACATTTAAAAAGTGCAGTTACAAAAGAATAAAAGAGAAGCTTGAGTATGAGTCTTTGGTTTAGGAATTCTTGATACCTGAGATTGATTAATCTTTTTATTTGCAGGGGTTTTTTCAATAACAGATAATAAAGTTTCTTGTTACAGAAGTTTAAGTTTCTTTGGTTGTAAAAACTTGTATTGCAAAATCTTGTGTTGAACTTTTTGTATTGCAGGAAATTTATTTTCTTGAATTGTAATAGAATCTATAAGTAAGAAATTTTAAATTATTATATAAAAATAATTATTATATAATATATTAATATATTTATATTTATCTTGTTGTTTATTACAATAATCATATTTATTCAAATCTAATTATTGTATTGAAAAAGAAATTAATATTACAGTATTTAAAATATGTTAATATTCACTAGTTTAACAATAATCTGCTATACTTTCATAAGAACAATGTCCAGAAAATAATTGAAGTTCAGAATTGGAAACACAATTATTTTTTAAAAATTGAATTATAGTACTGTATAAAAGCAAAAATAGTTTGTGATTTTTCATCTATTATTTAAAACAATTCCAATAATTGTTGCAATATTATTCATCATTTTTTTAAGTTTCATATAATTCATATATGTATTTTTATATCAATAATCTTGTTAAAAATCTTTAATAATAATAAAATAAAGTATATTATATTAATAAATTAAATATTTTTAATTATATTTACCTTTTTGATTTTTATAATTTTTGTAAAATAAAGAATCTAATAATAAAAAAGAATCAGATAGTTTTGCCAAATAAAATAAAATATCTTTTATTGATGTATATAAATTATTAGATGTGTCTAGTAGTATAGGAATATGTTAAGAATTTGTCTTTCCATGTTTATTTTTATAAAAAATATTATTTTGATTATTTTTTCTTTATGTAGCACAAGTTTTAATTCTCCATCTTGACAATGTTCAAAATTTTTTCTACAAATTTGATATACAGTATGAGTCATATATTTTTGGAATTTTTTTAACTTTGTATTTTATCTTAATATTAAATAAAAAAACCATTAATTTTTTATAAAATTTTATTCAAATATATTTTAGAACTTAAGAATAAAATGATATAAATTTTATTAAAAAAT